ATAAGCCCAAGGGATGAGCTGGCACTTGAAGCCTGCTGGGAGTTTGCATCAGTACACAGAACAAAAGGGGAGATGTTTCCCCACCATTTTATTGTCTGCTTATTGAACGTATCTTTAGCTCAGCTGGGTACTTCCCGGCACACAGGCTTAAAATGGAGCCTGCACTTTTTTTTGCTTCATCTCTTCAGGGGCAAATATACTGAGCCATTGATTAGGTTATTTTGGGATCATGGCATGGTACAATTGCTTGCTGTTATCCTGGCAGTCATTTCTCATGAGCCTGTTATGCACGTTTTATAAGGCTCTACAAAAAGCAGAGCTCCCCGAGAACGTTTTACATAGCACGTTTCTGATGTGCCTTTGTGTGCAAGTTGTTTGTATCTCAGTAGCAGCCAAAGAGCCATTCAGATGTGTTGGTTGCTATAGTAATTACTTTCCTTGGGAACTAAAATAATAGCTTACAGCTCCTGCAGCTCGCTGTTGTGTAGGCTGCCTTGAACCAGAGACAGTTCCATTTTGTTTTGGAGGGGGCTGGGGACTATAATGTATGCCAAGAGACAGACTTTCCTCTTTCCTTTCTATGCTTGTGCAGCTAATTTTGAATTTAACCTTTGTAGAGGATGTGCTACAGGTCTAAAGGTTCAAAAATAAAAGCAGCTTATGAAACAGTAGGACAGCTTTGCAGCTGCGGTTTCTGATGGAGCGAAGACACGGATTTGCTTTCCATTTCTGTTACTGAAAGCTGGTAGGAGAGGGACTGAGGCTCATGCTGAGACTGATCTGCAGTGCTGAGGACCCTACAGAACAGTGGGTGCAGGGCTCAGAGGAGTTTCAAAAATGCTTAAGCAAATCAAGCAGGAACATGACAAGAAGGACAGCTCTGCTTCAATCAGTATTTTTTTCCCTGGTGAAGCAACTACTGTAAGGACCAACATCTCTGGAGAGGGCTCTGCATTGTCATGGAGGAGGCACTGAACAGGAAGGCCTGTCAGTTGCTTTGGGCTACTGGACTGACAAAACTGCAGCTCACAGCCAGACGGGCTGGCGTGGCATGGCATTTCTGGATCTGCCAAGGAAGCAGAAGAAGAAAGGCAAGGGCAAGTGGCACAAGAACTTATAAGCCTGATTATCCTTCTGCATCACGAAGCAGCTGTAGGTCGACTGCAGACCACACTCATGACTCAAAGGGGTTGACCTACATAAGGGTCCCAGCACCAGGAACAAGTATCAACTTGGTTTTGCATTCAGAGGACACCGAAAGGGGAGGAGGATATTAAAAAAGGGTTTGGGGTGGGGGAGGAGATAGGATGAAAGGACTGAGAAAACAAATAGGGAAAGCATTTTGCCTCATGGTGCTGTCCTAGAAAATTTGCTCTCAGATTTATACATGGCTGCACTGGCAGCTGGCAGGGAGATGCCAAAGGGAGATTAGAGCATCACCTTCTAAAGGCTGCGAATGCACAGCAGTTCCTGTTTGAGCAACAGCAACAAACTGAGTTGAAGAGAAGGAGGGTGTTTGTGGAAACCACAGGGCAAAACTGGGCCCTCGTGTGTGATGGGGATGTGCTTGGCTTGCAGGCAGCAGGTGATAAGAACTTACTTCACCCACGTAGATGTGCAGATCCATTCCCCTGCTCCCCAATTTACGTAGTAGCATACACACAGGTTTTGTGTCTACACAGCTTTGCTGCTGAAGTACAGTGCTTTACCAACAGAGCTAAAGCAGTAGGGAGTTGTATGAGCATCCCCGTTCTCCCCAGGCAGTTCTGGATAAAGCACCCTTTGGCCTGCCCATGTTTCTATAGGAGGCAACAACAACAACACTGGTACAACTACAGCTAGGTGACTTTTTTAATGGAGGGATAGCCCTGGAAAGCCAAGGGTGATGCTGTTGCTGCAGTAAGTGGCAGTCCAGGACTGCTCTGATGCCCCAGAGCCCGTGGAGGCAGAGAGAGTCTGTGGATGCTGGGCATGGGGGGCTCAGCCTGCCTTGCCTGTCTGTCCCTCCAGCCTGAGACAGGCTTGTTGTACCCTGCCCTCAGGTGACACCAGGCTGGTTGGAATTCAAGAGGATGTGGTTTTGGTGTTCCCAAGCCCTCTTCCTCTCACAGTGTGGATGTAGCCAAGATTACTTGGGTAGCATCTCTAAGGACAGTCCTTAAAGATCACGGAAATCCCAGATAAGACAGGATGATAGACTTTTTCCAGGAAATCCCTGGAAAAAAAAGATACAGGAAATCTGGAAGTGCTTCATTGCAAGGACTCATGGCTCTCCATTGTATTTTTAAATTTCTTTTTATGATTACAGAGCCAAACCTTTAACTCACAACTGTCCCATTGTGCAGGCTTCAACTTTGAGGACATGTCAAGTGTCTGTTCTGTATTAAACTTGTTGTGATTTTTCTTTTTTTTTTTTTTTTTAATCTGGGAATTTCCTAAGGCCATAGCCCTTGGGCTAAGTTTTCTGCTTTTGTATCAGAAAATTTGGCTGCATTTTTAGTCCTGGTGGATTGCGGCATACCAAAAACCTAAAATTGTCCCTGAAGCACAGCAGTAGAAACAATATTTAAGACACAAAATCCTAAATGCAGAGGGGGAAAAAAAAGTATTCATGTGTCAAGATACTCTGAGAACCAAAAAAGTAAATCAAAGGTATGTGAAGATAAAATTTCACAATCAGTCCCATGTATTACTTAATTCCATAGAATATCATCTAGCTGTATTCATGGTGGCCAACACCTGCAGTTTTAGCAGAGTAACAAAATTTGTTTCTTTAACCCCAGTGGAGTCGGACATAGGAGAATCTTGGCTTTCCTTACACAGGAAATCTGCAGTTGTTATAGGGACTTTAAATCATAATTAAAAACATGATCCAAGGATGAGATACAGTCTCAAGTTACCACAAGGTGAGCAAAAGAGTTCGGATGGATTTAACCACAAAAATGTGACTTCGGATTTTAAGCCATGGTTTAGGTGGGGAGCAGGGGTAATTCATGACTTTTGATTTCTAAGATTGGCAGTACTGGTCTAAAGAATGATTAATGAGAGTATTTCTGGACCAATGGATTTTTCTTTGTGTTACTTTGGGAGTCAATTTTGTTATTAATTATTTTATATCTGACATTTGCAATGACTCAGAACCTGCACTTTAGGAATCCTTGTTATATTAAAAGCAAAAACTGCAGCTATGTTAAAAAGTCGGGGAGGCTGCAAAAACCTTTCTGTGCTGGAGAAATAGTTTGTGTTAGGTAAGTATTCGTGCTGGCATAATAATGATTTCTTCTCAGCAGCAACTCTTCTCCCGGAAAGACATCATAAGATGAAAAAAATCTCCAAAGTTTGCTCTCACATGTCATTAAAATCACTTATCTCACATCACTGTATGATAGGTAGACTGTCTAAAAGTGTGGCAACAGCTGGACAATGCATGAATACTCCTGTGGAGTGTGAAAGGCTGAAGTGTGTCACGGAATAAAGAGTGTCAGTGGCACCCTAAGGACATGCTTCATCAAGTGCAACTTCCTAGTCAAGTCACTGGAGCTCTAAAGGGGTAGCTCCATAGACCTTATCTGTATAAACAGCATTTCCTCAGGCAGGGAGGTTGTGCCAGACAAATGAATAGTCATGGAGTAGCTCAGGTGGTGATAACTATTGCAGTGGCATAAGAGATGGCTGACTGCACATAGATACTACCACGCATGGACTGAGCCTGATTCCTCTACCCCCACACGGTGTTGTCATCTATGCTGCCAGCAGCAGCCATGTCACTGTCACAGGTTTAGATGCTGTCAGATAGGGCAAAGTGAAAGTGGGAATTATTTAATTTAATTTTATTTTATTTTGATTTTCCTTCTTGTGAAGCAACACTTGGTGAACTCACCCTCTTTGTCAAAGTCAAAATCCCTGTGCTAGTGTCATGCTTGGGGAGTCCAGGAAGGTGGCAAAAGTAATGCTGTAGGGAAATCACAAGGGATTTACATCAAGGTCATTGCAGGTAACTAGGTGAAATGGTACAAAATGTTTTTTACGGCTTTAGCCAGCAGAACCTTCCTTGGAATAGGCGAAAATAAGAGTAGGCAACATTTTAATGATAATCAATAGAACTAATCCTGATGTACCCCATACAGCACAAGGACATTACTAAGCAGAATTGCTTTGTTCTTACGAAGTATCTGTGCTGTATAATGTGCATTAAACCACTCTGGAAGCCCAAGCAAAGACATAGACATATATAAGAGGTTGGTTTCTGCTTTGGGGTTGTAGCATCCTCTGCCCGCACGAGGATGGGGAAACATCTGTTCTGCACCCAGTCTCACCCTGTAGACATTTTTTCTTACCAGTCAGATCAGTTTGCGTTCCTGCCACAGCAAGCAAAGCAGTCCAGTGGTGCTGCACCATCATGAATGGAAAGAGACAAAGGAGATCAAGGTTAGAAATAGAATATAATAACTCATAGGAAAGCACTTGGCTCTCAGATATTCTCTCACTTAGATACTGAACCTTATGCTCCAGTTAAGTTTTCACCATCAAAGAGCAAAATGCAAACCACAGAACTTCAATTAAACTACTATATTAGCAAATCATATCCTTTCTGGTAGCTCGGGTAGCTCTTCTTCATAGGTGCTTACCAGGTGGTTATTCTGAGAAGCAGCCCCTGCTTCACAGATTGAGCACTGATCATTTCTAGGAACTGCTGCCTAATATAAATCCAGAATTGTGAGCCATTCCTTCTTCGGGGATGCAACACTCAGGAACAAGAAAATGCATCCAAGATCTCTGCTTTTAAAACGGAGCAGCTATTTTAAGACAGTGAGGACAGTTCTGATATCTGGATACAACTTTCCCCACAGATGGCAGTTCAGGTTGTAAGCAAAGGTCAGACCTGGCTGAGGGCACGATTTGTGTCCACAGAACAGGAAAGCTTTTGACCTCCTCAGCAGGACAGGCTGCCCCAGGATTGGAGCATTACACTGACAGGTAGCCAGGGCCTCTTACCTTTGCAGCCATGTTGGTCAACCCTCTTTTCTCTCCACACACCCCGATGTCCTGCTTGCTCCTCATGATTCTGTGTCCGTATTTCCTGAGCCAGGCAGGACAAGGTTTCTTTCAGAGCACTTGACTATGCACAGGGCACAGCCAATGTGCGTAGCACATCCATGTCTCCTGGACATGCCAACAAGCAACCTGCCAGCAAAAGAAGAAATTTTGGAACGGCAGATTTAATGCTACAGCCACAAAGAAGCAAAGCCATCCCTGGATGGGGATGTGAAAATGCTGTTACAGTGTCTTAGCAAATGATGTCTACTATTTATGCAGAAAAGAGTGATCTGAATCAGAGAGGAAGTACTGGCTAGACAGATATGTTACAATGTCCACCCAATGCTGGTAACCAAACAAACCATATAGGTAAAAACCCATCACCCACATAGGGGCCCCATACCTGGGGAAGAGCTGTGACATTGGGACTTTTATCTTTGCTGAGACTGAACCGGTGCAAACAAGTGTAGTGGCTCTTGTCTGCTGGTGTATCTCTGCTGTATTCAAGTCTGAAAAATCCCACACCTGTCAGGCTGCCTTTTTATCCTTTTAACAGAGGGTAATCACACATTCTGTGTATAACAAAGAAGAAAGTGTGCAAAATAAAAAACATACATAATGGAAAATGCCAAGATGAAAGTTTCAAATGCAAGCTGATTTTGTCCCTTCATGCCTAACTTTCAGTGAAAAGTACTTTTATTTTACAGCCATTGATTCATTTGCTCATGGGGCCTCAGTCTCACTTGGTGTGCTGAGCAGGCTGTGCCCAGGTAACTCAGTTTTTGCTTTCCTCCCACTCAGACAGGGAGCCCAGAGCTCCTCAGCTCTTCCGCTGGTAAAGCTGACTTGTTTTCTTCTGAGTATTTTTCACTGCTGCAGGAAAGTGCATCACTGCCATGTGAGTGAGCAGCTGCTGCAGTCTGCTGCAGGGGTAGAAGACTGATATGTAGACAGATTTTGGCCAGGTGTGTTCTGGCCATACACTTTTCAAGGGATCATTTGAAATACTTAAGGCCTGATTTCAATGAAAATGCAATTTTATCTTGCACTCAGTTCCAAAAACCAATTCTGAGGTTGCCAGCTCACAAGTAAGAAAATGAGCTAAAACCAGTGACTGATGGTAAGCAACTGGTTTAAGTAACTTGCCTATATTACATTGATGAGAAATAAAGCAGTGTCATCACTTTTAAGCTCCTTGTGTATGTGTGCATCTGTATGCACACTGATTCTGTATACAGACAGAAACATAGTGGTAATGAACAAAAACATTTGAAAACTTTGTGTCAGGTGATCCAAAAGAAAACGTGAGATCTGCTTTTGTGATTTTATGGACTATGTACTTGAACTGACTACTGTTGGGTTGCCCCTGGAATGGAAGCATTTAAAAATCATGCTCTTCAGGTGCAATCAAAGGAATTATTTTTTTTTTTTTTTCCAGAAGTACTCGATAGACAGAGATAAACTTCTCTAAGTTTACTTAGAGAATTAAAACTTGGAGTTATTTGGAGTCTGATGCCTTAAGAAACAATAAATATCCCAGTATTTCTGATCCTTTTGGAAGTGCTGGCAATAGTGCAAGGTTTGGTGATTCTGCCATGTAAGGCAATGTAAGTCCTTACTGGTCAGTGGATCTGACCTCTACCACAGCTGTTTATCGACACAAGCACACACCAATTTAGGTATTCAAGCCAGTGTCAAATATGCTGAGCAGTCACGGTTTCTACTAACAACAACTAGTGTATCACATGCTTAGAACTACCAAGTTTTGGCTTCAGAAGCCTTACAATGAGTACCCAGACACAGGGGTCTCTAGGCTCCTGGTGGATTGAAAAGAGTTGCAAGGAGAAGCACGAGCTGTCCAGCCCAGAGGAGAGCATGGATAAATTAGAAAGAAAATAATAAAATAATTAAAACGGAGAAGAAATTCTCAGTTTGTTTTGTCCAGGTATATTGGAGTTTTCACCATCCCTCTGCAACTGAGGTAGAGGCAACTTCCAACAGGACGGTGGTCAGAGCACTCATTTCTTAAACTGCTGAGACTAAATTCCCAAGAAGGAACAAAAACCCTGCAAGTGTAATGCTTTAGCATTGTAAGACACATTCCTCGCTACAGCGAGCTAATAGCCTAATGTAATATAAATTACAGTAAAGGATGTAAGAAAGGCAGGGCACAAAAGGAAGAGGAGTGAAAATTGTACCGGTAACGACATGTAATTCCAAACTATGAGCGTAATTATGCGATTTAAATTTCTGCAGGGTTTGGGGATTTTTCCTCATATCATTGTTCTGCTCTTTCTGTAATTATGTGGTTATACTTGATTGCACAGTGGTAAGCAAATAACACTAATTGCTGTTCTTATTGGAGGGTAGCGAACTGAAACCATGACTTCTGTTTATCACCTCCAGGTAATAAAAATTGTATGAAAAGAACTCTTTCAGGCAGCATTAGCATCTTTCTTCTCTCTCTCTCTCTCTCTCTCTCTCGCTTATAGAAAAGCAGCAGGTCTGACAGTGAAATCTGTCTGCCGAGTCAGGTGCTCAGTTACAAACTTACATAACTGGGGCGTATTTCCATATTCCCTCCCTCCTTTCCTATGCTTGAGGCACAGGCAGAAGGAAGGACTGCTCCAAGGATGCTCACAGTAGTGAGTGAGAAAGCCCCAGTGTCACAAGTTAAATATGTAAAATATCTTAACATCTCCACAGTGGAAAAATTAAATACTGTACTAAGTCAGCAAAGCAGGGTCTGCTCCCCAGTGGCACTGGAACCCATATGCTGCACAGAAGCATCCTGAAACTCTGCTGTTTCTTGGAACACTAAGTAAATAAGAATTTGGTTAAACAGTACGTCACAGGATCACACAGGATGGTTTTGGATTGGAAGAGACCTTAAAGATCATCTTGTTCCAAACCTTTATGGAACAAGACAAACATGGCAGGGTCTGGTGTCATTTCCCCATTTTCAGAAAAGTACTTCTAAGTACATGGAGGAAACTATTAAAGAAAATCTAATTATTGCAGCATTTCAATGCCATTTTCTGACTCTGGTACATCCTGTGATTTCTCAGGCTGTTACTTTTTGCAATGTTATGGTGTAAACGTCTGCTAAAATCCCATAGCTCTACCATATAAAACTAATTCACTAGAAACTTCACCTTGCAAGTAAGCAGAAATATCAGTAGTGTATTTGGAAAGAAGTGCTTTATGCTCATAGATGGCACGTTCCTCATTGACTGTTTCAACCTACAACAGCCGTAAGCACAGCTTCAGCCCTGTGGACTGTATGCTCTCAAAGTTGCAATGTTCTTTGTTAAAAAATAGGTACAAGAATAAGAAATACTGAAAGAAAAACATAAACTAGGAAACAAAGACCAAAGAGAAAACGAGAAGGTGAGAAACACAGCAAGTTGAGTTAAATCAAGTGTATGTGCTTGTAGATAAGATGATTAGATGAGCTGAGAGATGCAGATTCACATCATGCCAGGCAGAAGGGGAAGCTGAACCTCCTCCTACTTCTTGGAGGAGTGCCTTTACTACTGGATTTCAGGATAACAGAAAATGTGTAAACAACACACTATCTGCTTTCTTTTCTAGCTTTCAAAGCCTACAAGTACCATTTCAGATTAAATAATGTTTTATTTGATAGGTGTGAGGTTTGGGGATTTTCCCCACACACACCTCAAAAGAAGAAAATAATAGCATTTACTTTGGTTGTCTTCTGAATCATTTCCCTCCCTCCAATTTGGCTGCTGAACTGAAAAAGCAATCATATATCCATTCTCCAGTGATCTACTTCCAGCAAGGCTCCACTTCACATCCATCTTGGTTTGGCAGCCACAGATGCAGAAACTAATTCAGCTAGAAAGTCCTGTAAGCCATTTTAACACTGGGAGTCTTCTCCCCATGCCTCCATTCACAAGGAAGGCTTCTGCTGAACAAACTGGCAAGACACAGATTGGATAGGTGGTCTGGTCTGCAAGACAGTTAGAAAACTGGCTAACAGGCTGCACTCAGAGGACGGTGATTAACGTTTTTAACTTGGTTTGGCAGCCTGTCACAAGTGCCCCTTCCCCCCAGGACTAACACTGGGCTCCATCCTGTCCATCTTCACAATGATTTGGACGATGGGGGTTGAAAGCACCTTCATCAAGTTTACTGATGGCACTAAACTGGCTGGTGAGGACAACCTGCCCTATGAGGAAAGACAGAAGGAGTTAGGTCTCATCTTCCTGGAGGAGAGGAGGCTTGGGGGCAGGGGGCTAATCTCAATATACCTCAATATATCTCAGCCTCTCTTCACAAAGAGCCACGTGGAGGAGACAAGGAACAACATGAATTTTTTTACAGTGAGAACAACCAGTGACTGGAACCCAGGGATGTGACGGTAGAGTCCCTGTCATGGGATGTTTCCATGCTGCTACTGGACAGAGTGCTAGATAATCTCATCTAGGCTCCCTCCCACAAAAGTTGGACCAGCTCCCTTCCAGCCTGGGCTGCTGGATGGTTGGATGGCACACAGGCAGAGAACAGGCTCCCAGAGCCGCCTTCGGCAACATCGTCCTGAAGAAGGAACCTGAGCAGACCCACCTTTTGCCAGCACACAGCCCTGCGTGCAGCACAGCGCGAGGTGTGCGGGCAGGTCTAATGCTCACCGGGATCGCAGGGATCGCACAAAGTGCGCTGCTGTTTCGCACCGATGGACACCGGACCCCATCGGCCCACTTGAACTTCTTGCCAGGGGCCGAGGGCCAGCTGTGGGTGCTCAGGAGCGGCCACACGGCTCCCCGAAGCCTCCGTGACCTTGCCAACTCGCGGCTGCCGTGCCCCTCGAAGCCGGGACACACCGGTCGCGCCGGGGGCCCGCGTTCCCCGATGCCAAATCAGCTCGGCGGCTCTGGAAAGCAGACAAAGGCGGCGAGGCCTGCAAGAGGAGGCGGTGGGTAAAGGAAAGGGCCGCCGGTCCGGGGGCGCTGTGCAGGCCCTCGGGGCCCCTCAGCCCGTCCCCGCTTGCCGCTGCCTTCCCCCGCCCGACCCTGAGGCTCCGCGGGAGGCGGGGCCGGGGCCGCCTCACAGCGCTGACGGGCGCGCTCCCTGTCCAATCGCCACGGCGCTGACTCCTGATGGACACCCGCACTGACCTATCGCCGTGGCGCGCTCGCTCCCTCCCCGGCTGGGAGCCAATCGCGACACCGGTGGCGGGGGGGGTGGGGCCCAGCGCGGGGCGGGCCGTGTGCGGGGCTGGGGCGCAGAGCATCGCTCGGGGTCGGCGGTGCCGCCGGCTCTGTCCCTGCTCCCGCGTCTCCCGCACCGCCCGCCGCCCCTTCCCGCCCCTTCCCTTCCCTCCCCTCCCGCGGCCATGTCGTCTCCGTCGTCCGGGGAGCGGTACGAGGAGGAAGAGGAGGAGGAGGAGGACGGCGCCTACGAGAGCCAGGCCAAGCGGCTGAAGCCCAGCGCCGCCGCCGAGGAGGGCGAGATCGAATACAGTGGCGCGGAGGAGAGCGAGGGCCGGCGGGACAAGCCCCCCGCGCCGCGGGGCGGCGGCGGCTTCTCGGGCGGGGTGAGGAGGGACGCGGAGCCGGCGGGCGGGGGGCGTCTCCCCTCAGGATGCGGGCGGGGGGAGGGGGCCCGTCCCGCCCCTCCCGCGGGCGAGGCCGCGCCCGCCCCCGGTGCTGCTGCCCCGGCGGGGGGGCCCTGCCCGCGAGGGGGGCCAGGGGGCTTCGCGAGGCCTTCCTGGGGTCGTGGCCAAGCAGGATATGGAGGGGCTCCGGGCCGGGAATGGCGGGGGGTGTCGGGATGGGTCCTCTGCTCCGCAGACGTGCGCTTGTTCCTCTCTCGAGCTGCCCGCGTGAAGGGGCTGAGCCTGCGGATGGATGGATGCATGGATAGATGGATGGATGGATGTGAAGGATTTGGGGTTTGAGGCTAACGGATTGCCGGTGTTCCCGTGGGCAGCTGGGCTGCCTTTTGGGGGATATCGCCATTGCAAATTTTGTGCCTGCCCTGTTGCTGAGCGTAACTATAGAAACACGGGGGGGTGTGTTGAAACCGAGGCAGAGGGTACCTTTCATCTTTCTGCTTTACCTTTGTGTCTGTCAGCTTACGGTGATAAGGCTGATCATAAACGATTGCCTCCTTTTTAAATTAATTTGTATTTCTACTTTCTTCCTCCCCCACGAGCGCTGCTATAAGCATGCTGGTTCACTGTATGTTGTTTTTTGCGACGAACCTTTTCTTCTTCATGAATATGCGTTGAAGTATCAAGATAGTCCTCGACCCATAAATTTGAGCAACAACACTTCTGTGTCTGCTGTTTGATTCCTGAACTAACTGTCCATCTGATAGTGACCATTTTTCTTCTTGATGACTCTTTCTGTTTCTTACTTGAACAAACTAGATCAAGAAAACATCAGTTTAACAGCAAACCTCGACATTTAGAATACTCGTTTTGTGGTTTGTTAAAATGTACTTGCTTAGTGCTGGGATAAGTTAGAGAGAGCATTTGCTGTTACCATTTCTCCATCAGTTAAATCTTTTGATGGAGAGGGTACCTGCTCAATTTGGCGTCGTGGTTTAACCCTCACCTACAACCAAGCACCACACAGCCACTTACTCCCTCCCCCCTGGTCTGATGGGGGAGGGAATCAGAAAGGCACAAGTGAGAAAACTCAGAATGTCCCCTCTTCCTTCTTCTTCCCTCACTTTATATGCTGATCATGATATCATACAGTCTGGGATATCCCTTAGGTCAACTGAGGTCACCTCTCTCGGCTGTGCTCACTGGTGGAGCTGTAGGAGTAGCAGAGAAAGCCTTGATTCTGTGGAGTGCTCACTGCTCAGCTGTAAGGAAAACACGTCTGTATTTAATTGAAGCTGTTTCCAGCACAAATCCAAAATATAGCTCATACTACTGTGGAGAAAATTAACTTTGCCCCAGCCAAAACTAGCACATTATTACAAAAGTTCCCTGATAAACTGCAACAAAATACATCTCTGGAAAGAACTATTTTAATTCTCCAGTTTCTTGTGACACAGCATCATCTCTGTTGCAGTCAAGACTTAGCAATGTGCTCTGTCTTAAAGGCCAGTTCTGAATGAAATCCAAATACTTGCTTAAGCTATCTTGAAATTTTGTTGTGTAGGAGACCTGGACATCCTGCAGTGAGTGTTTCAAATAGCAACAAGATTCTGCTCTTGCCTTTCCTCTTTTCTGCGTTACTTTATGAAATCAACTAGTTCTTACCTTTCTCTTTTTCCTTCTTTCTGGGTTCTGGCTCGGAGTGTCTTCATGATGTACCAGTATCTCAGTTTATCTGAGTTAAAGTGCAGTAATGCTGCCCTGCCCCTTTAGGTAATGAGAGTATGGAGTGTATAACTTTACATTTAGGTTCTCAAGAATGGTATATGCTGAGTCTTGTGAGTGAAGAAACTGAAGCAAATGTGTAGGAGGTCAGAAACGTGAGAGTTTTTAGGCAGCTCATTATGTCAGTTGTAGTGTACCTCAAGGAGGTACATGCTCATTGAGAATTTATTAGCAAAGCTGTGTTCCCAGATTCACTATTGGAGTTGATAGTAGAGATCAAACTGTTTTTTTAAAAATAAGTATAACATCAAGTGGATATGTGAAAAATGAATGGCTGAGTGCTTTTGTTCATAATTTTTTGTGAAGGATTTAATAGCAAAATGCTAGCATCTATTAAGTAGAGTAGGTTAATATGAATTTTTTTTTTCTCTAATAGATACAAAACTGTGCAGGAAACTTACATATTCTGTGACATATCTTATTAATTTTTCTGCAGGGAAATGTTCTCAGCTTATAAGAGTTGTATCTGGTTCAGATATACAAGATGAAGGTAGGCTGAGAGGAAGGAAGAAGTGGAAGTATCCCGGATTGCTCAGAAGAGAGCAGAAAAAGAATAAGTAGGAGGAACTGTAGAGAATGGGGAACTAGGAGGAGAAATGGAAAAATGGATGACCAGGGTAAAAAGAGTGGTAGGAGTCTGGTAGCCTCACTGTTTGATTATTTTTTTAAATTTTCCCCTGACATATGCCCTGGAATATCAGTGAACTATACACTCTTATGGATTATATGCACCTGTTGTATAAAAGCTCTTTTGTGGTAGGACCCTGCTAAGAGGGTTGGTGGGGTCTCCTTCCTGGGCTGTATTTATTGTTGTGGCAGTTTCCTGTTCTGGGGTTGTTTCCTTTGGCTGAATAAGACTTTCATGTGGACACTTCTCATAACCCAGATGTGTACCCTCTTCTTTGTGTCTCATCTCCAGGCTGAGTAGCATGGAGAGCCAGGAACAGACTAGAATGTTGACCAGGGAAAGAGCAGGATGTGCTCTTGCAGAAATACTCGGTGAGGAAGAGTATGATTTGGAAGAAGGACTTTATAGAGGCAGTGTTGAATGGTAGTGAGGCTTTGGCAGAGGAATCAGAATTGCAGTGTAGCAGAGCGTCAGGACACTGGGAAAATGTGGGCTGAGAGCTGTATTTAAGGGAGTTAAGGGGACCTTTTAGCTCCATCCCCTCTCCTTCCCTGAAATTTCAGTTTTATTGATGAATGTTTTATTTATACAACCTGTAGCATCCCCTTTGTTGCTGTCTCTGACATACCTATTTGTAAACGTTTCTGTGAAGTAGGGAAGATCTGTTATCCCTGTTTCTACAGCTGGGGAAGTTAGATGTGGTGTCTAAATGCACAAACATAACTGTGAGCTACCGCAAGGTAAGGTAGGGACGTAAACGTGCAGCTTCTCATCCGCTCTGTTGAAACTTCCTGGGCAGTGTTCTTTCTTGGTGGTAAGTGGAAGGCAGCTCTCTTTGCAACTCAGTCGCTTGGTGTCTGTCACAGGCAGTGTGGTAACAGCAGCTGGATGCAATGAATTCAGATCTTGACCTATTTTCCAGTGACTTGTTCAAGTATCCATTTCTTAAATGAAGTACATCCTAGAAATTGGTTTTGGAGTAAGTAATCTTCCCTCCCTAGTCATCTCTCTCAAAAAAAGTAACCATTGCCTTCAGGCTAGTTCTTCTTCCAGTATCTCAGGTTGAATCTTCTGATGACGCTGTGTTGTGTGGCACTTTTTTTTTAGGATGGTGTTTGCTTGGCTTTTGTTTCTGTTTTTTGTTGTTGTTGTTGTTTGGTTTTTTGTTTGTTTCTGTTTGGTTGGGTTTTGGTTTGGTTGTTTTTTGTTTGTTTGTTTGGTGTTTTTTTTTTTTTTTTTGGTTTATTTTTTTTAAGGATGTTCAGATTGTGCTGAGCGGAGAAGAAAATATAATAGACTATTTCATTTGGAAGGGACTTGCATCAGTCATCTAGTCCAACTCCCTGAGCACTTCAGGGCAAATTCAGAATTGGCATAGAGCTGGTCTTCTGTTCTGTAGGAGTTGAAATCATTGAAAGGATAGAATGTTAGGAAGAGGTATGCATTAAACAAGAGAAATTATACCCAGACTCCTCATCCAAAATGAAACTAAACTATCAGGTAGCCTTCCAGAGTATGGGGTCATCAGACCACTCCCTGTGGGCAGTGCTGAGATTACTGGGAATTGTGTTGGATATGTCCTCTTTGCCTTTTCAGTGCGATAATTTTAGCTACCCGTGTCATTCTGCTAGGTAGTTGGATGCAGATCAGTCCATAATTAGGCATTAATGAAGTTTTGAGCACTTACATACTTACTGAGCAACCTTTTAGGGCTTCCCCCCTAGGCCTCCAGTTCTGTCGTATTTATAAAAGAAATTTCAGAGCAATTAAGAGGAATGCAGAGAGAGGAAAAAAGTTGAGAGTGAATAAGATAATCTAAATGGAGAGAAATTAAATAACAATATATTTAGGTACCTGGGGGAGAGAATATGAGAGAGGAGTGCCATCCTTGTGCAGTAAGGAAAAAAAGAGAGATGGAGGAGGTAAGCAGTGGAAAGGTAAAGAAGTGGTGCTCAAGAAAACATATTACAAATTAGTAGGACTTATGTGAGTATACTGACTG